GATTTTTCTTCAGATCTTCTCTGATTGTCCCAGGAGGACCCCTGTTCTGCCTCTACTCTTATTTATTTTCATGGCTCTATGTTTGCCCAGAGGTGCTATTTTATCTCTTTTGTGGAGGAAAATCTTGAGAGCTTGAAATTTTCTGACCTATTCCACCATCTTCCCCAAACCTTCCTTGTTCTTACAGGAAGAAGGGAATGAAGAAAACAGGAGAGCACTAACTGCCTTAATCAACAGAAGTCCCAAAGAAAGAAAAAGGAAACTAAGGGACCCTTGGAAATAGTGCTTTGATATTAGAGATATTTTTATTTATATATACTTTGCAATAGCAGCTCTATTTCACATGAAGGGATAAAAGTTGTATTTTTTTCTATAGATAAATGTAGCACATTTGCTAATAAAGAAACAAGCCCCAGGGGATTAAAGTATCACTATGTAAACACTTGATTTATACTCTCAGAGGGCTTACAGTCTAAAGATGTGAAGTATGGGCATACAAATACACTTCTTTTTCTAGTAAGTTGTAGTGATTTTATCTGTCCCCTTTCATTGCCTTGGAATCAGTTTCATGTTCATTTATCTCTTTTCAGGAGAAGCAGAAACCAGTGCAGATGATGTTTCAGAAATCTACATTTAGCATGACCTACATAGGAGAAGTGTTTACCAAGATCCTGGTTCTGCCTTATGTTGGAGGACAAATGGACATGGTCATTTTGCTTCCAGATGAGAACACAGATCTAAAAATGGTGAGAAAAGTATTATTGTTGATACCTACTTTGAGAAAATTTAAAAAAAAATTGATTCAGATGTTGTAGGTACAACATCGGATTTTGGCTATAATGACAACTGTATCCTGGGCCATCTCTAGTTGTCCTGATCCATATCTGGCCACTGGACTCCCAGATGGCTCTGGAGGAGAAAGTGAGGCTGGTGACTTTGCACAGCCCTCCCTCACTTAAATCCAATTCACTTGCATGTCATGGCATCACTTCCCTGATATCATGGTCCTCTTCAAGAACAAAGGGCAAATAGCAGCAACAACAATATAATAATGAAGTCCTTTAAAATGAATCATCTTGTCCTAGATGTCTAGATCAATGACTGGAGGTTACACTGACATCTTTGTAGGTGTTGTGTCACAAAGATACAGAGTTTGGTAGTGGCAGTGGGAAAGGGGAGGAGCCTTTGGTATTTAAGGGATCAATTCACTAGGAATAGGGACTGACAGTGGAAGGTTATAGCAACAGGACCCATCTAGGGTTAGAGGTAACCAGAGGGCTTCTATTAACATTTCAGGGTCTTGATTTGCTAGAGGGGAAGAGGAGTTGGTTTCCACATCCTGCTGATGTGGGCAGACAGAACAGAATGGGGACCAGATAAGGAAAGCTGGAAATGTGATTGGGAATCACTATGGCCTAGAGACATGTTTGAGGAAGGAAGTATGGGTAAATAAATAGGTCAGCAGCAAGCACATAATAGGTTGCCTTTGATTGCTTTATTGAAAGAGAACTCCCATGTTAGAATCCCAGAGGGCCCAATGACTGATTCCCAATCTGGTTAATATGAGCCGTTGTCATGACTATGAGTCACTCCAGTAAATACATAATACAAGGAAAAGTGCAGCATTAAATCATGTTGAGTGCAGCCTTGCCAACTGATAAGTCAGTATTTTGCCTACCCAGGAAATCATGGCACTTCTTTGAGCCAGTTTCCCCATCTGTAAAATGGGGATAATCTCTGTCTGAAATAATTTCAAGGGCTGTTGTGAGATGTGAAGAGGGAATGAGATAATATGTGAAAGTGCTCTGAAGGGTACAAAATACTAGAGAAGTATAAGATTAGAAGGTAGTAATGAAAGGGGGCAGTCAGAAAATGAAACCTGTTTTCTGAGCTAAACTAAGATGATATGGATTCTTTTAAGTGAGAAGGTTGTGGGGTGGGAAAGGAAGGCTGTATTTGGAGTCAGGGTCCAAGACCTTGGTTGGAATTCTGGCTCAGCCTCTTACCACCTGTGGGACCTGAAGCATTTTCTCATCTGTAAAATGAGGGTTATACTGGATGGTCTCTAAGGTACCTTTCAAGCTCTGAATCTAAGGTCCTCTGATGGAAAGTACTGAAAAGAGAGGTATCAATCTGTAGTTGAATGGTGTGTGTGTGTGTGTGTGTATGTGAGAGAGAGAGTATATTGTGTTTGGATTGGTTGTGTATTTATCACTTTCCTAACTTTTCAAGTAGAACAGAAGCTCTTTAGCGGCATAAACTTTTTTTTTCCTCCTTTGGATCCACCACACCCAGCACAGTAACTTTGCATAAAGTACATAGTATAGGAATATTTGTCTAATTAAATCAAATCCTTTGAGACTTACATGATACAACTCTTTTTATTTTTAGTTGGTAAAAGGACTTACTTCTGAGACATTAGCAGATTGGTTAAATCCAGAGATGATGGATGAAACTGAGGTGGAAGTTTTCCTTCCCAGATTTAAATTGGAGGAGGATTTAGACATGGAATTCATTCTTCGAAAATTGGGGATGTCAGATGCCTTTGATGGATCCGTGGCTGACTTTTCTGGGATGTCGGCCAGGCGTGACCTGTATCTGTCCAAGGTTGTACACAAAGCTTTTGTGGAAGTTAATGAAGAAGGCACGGAAGCAGCTTGTGCCACTGCAATTGTCATAATAAAGCTATGTGCAAGAATTATTCCACGATTCATAGTCAACCGTCCTTTCCTTTTTCTTATCCAAGATAACAGCTCAAAAACTATTTTGTTTTTGGGCAAAGTGATCTCTCCATAAAGAGATCATTTACCCCTGATGGAGTCTTTACCCTGGTGTTATTTACACCTGTTTTACCTAGACTCTTATGTACATATAATCCAAAGGGTCCTTATCAACATGGTGATAATAATCAAAAAATAAAATTCTTGATTCAGAAATTCTCTACCTGGGATTGCCTGTGTATGCTTCTGTCCATCTTTGTCCTTTGAAAGCTGTAATTTTCAAAGTGTGTGCCTAGTACCTTCATTTGAGGGCATGGAGAGTAAAGGAAGGGCTAGAAGCCAATGTTCCCTAGTGCATTTCATGATTAGTTTTTGTTAATGAAACATTGGCTACTAATGGAGCCGCCTGACTGTCCCTACAATGATGCCTCACTCCTGTGTCCACACCCCCATTCCAAAAGGTATTATCTATCAATTCATTTGTCACTAAGCTTAGAGCTTAGCTCCTGACACCAATATTCCCCTTCATCTTCCCTGTGACACCACATCCTCAGCCTCTCCTGGGTATACAAGGAAAATGAGATATTACTATTTTTTTTTCTTTTAGAGGAAGAAGTGGAAATTAAAATGGAATGGTAGGAGTCTGGGGAACAGGTTTCACGAATTCATGACGGAGGTCTGTGGGAACAAAACCTTTTTTGAGCCTCACAAAAAAAAAAAAAAAAAAGACCCAAATGCTGAAAGTTCCAGTTGAGTTGAAGCTCAGATAGGAAGTCATTTGAAAGGAGAAATGAGTCTTTTGTCCTTTGGATCAGTCTCTAGTTGTTGTTATGGTCCATGTAGTAATCTGCTCGTGACATATAACATATACCAGCTACTACTTAGAATTTCCATAGAGCTTTTAGGTTTGCATACAGATACCTCATTTTATCCTTACAACAACTCTGAGAAGCATTTGCTATTATTACCTCTACTTTACAAGGAAACTGAAGCAGAATGGGGTTGAGTGACTTGCCCAGGTTCACACACAGCTAGTAAGTATCTGAGGCTGGATTTGAACTTAGTTCTTCCTGACATCAGGTTTAACTTTTTTATCCATTGTATCACCTATCTGCAAAACATAGGAAACTTTAAATAATCTGCAGATCAACCTATACGGGCCGCACGCCGACCCTCTGCCAGTCGTGCGCCAGTACCCACTTCCCTTAAAAGAAGTGCACTGCCAGAGTCTTACCCATGCCTGGGTCCTCGGTCCTCAGCAGGATCACCACACAGAGACAAGCCATGGGAAGGCACCAACACCAGAGTTTTATTCAGAGGCCAACACAGCAAACCATCATAGCAAGCCCAAGCAGCAAGGCCAGAGCAACACAGCAGGAGCCAGGGGAGAGCGCGCAGTGTGTGTTCTGACCACGCTTGTTCCTAAGTACCTACTTAGCCCCTCCTCCCCAGCCCACTACTAGCCAATGATTGTAGGGTCAGATACCGGAAGGGGCTGTCTGA